CTTATGCCACTCCTTCCCTGTTAGGCTTACTTTGAAACTGTGACAGCTAGACATAAACATACATAAACTGTAATCTAATGATCCACATAAACAAAGTCCTATATTCAGCCTGCTCGTCTTAATGGTTCTGGTGATTTGTCTCTTCAGCACAGCTATTCTTTTTTAATAATTAGAATATAAACCTTCTAAAAATGTTTGCAATATGCCAGGTGAGTCAAGCTTAGCTTGCAAGACAAATGTTGTGAAGAAAACTAGCTTGGTTTTATATTTTACTGTGCAAATATGGTGATTTATATTAACACAACTTTTTCCCTCAGCTGTATCTGCAGCTTCCTTGAAGACAGACAAAACAAACCTTCAGCTTCAGATAAAGAGGTGACTTTTAAGTCTTACTCCTGACTTCTTTCAGCCTCCAGCAACTGTTAATCTTCCATACTGATGCATGTTTTCTATATTACTTAAAAGATCATGAAGTCAGAAGAGTTCAAATAGTTAATGTTTATTTGAGGAAAGTTTCATTTATATTTTGAGATGGATCTTGCAATAGTTTTGCTGTTCTGTGTGGTTGTAGTAGTACTGCTGCTCTTCCAAGAAAAGCTGCAGCTAGTTTTAGGAGGAAAACTCCTGTCTGGTTTAAGATGAACTGCATGAAACAATTGTCAGTGAATGGGTACGTGGGTGTGTTGTGGGAGAGAGGAGGAGGTTGATTGGTAGAAGTGGTGTAGTATGGGATAAAATTCTGCAAGCTGAGAAACTCAAGCGTATGGGAGATCCAAACTGTGTCCTTGCTCTGTCATCCTCAATCTAGAGCCTTAGCACATGAGTTTCTACAGGCTAAAGAGCAAACTTTAAACATTTGGCCAAGAGGTTTTCAGTGGTGGATCCATGTTGTTGGTGTAAGCTACTTCTAGGGAATTAGTGAAAGGTAGCTAACAAAGTCAAATGTACTTGTCTTTAGGCTTACTCCAGCTGCATGACAATGGAAAAGGCTGAAAAGCTGCGTACAAAGGGAGATGAGGGGAAGGTTCCTCAGTGAGGAAAAAGCTGTAACATTTTCTTGGGCTGCAGAAAAACACAGCTGCAAGCTCACATGAGTGAAACCATGTAAAAGTGTGAACTCGGGCTCCCGGAGTGGTAGGTGGGTGCTGTGGCCAGCCGGCTGCTGCCTACTAGGTCCCTTCAGGCTCTGGGCATCCTGCTGTGAGTCTGACACTTTCTGACAAATGTGACATTCAAAAAGTGCAAGAAGTTGGGTCTGCAGAAACTTGTATTTCAGTCTCCCCAAATCCATAACTGCTGTCAGCTTCTCAGCTAACTTGTATAATTGTTGTGCTCTTTCTTTCAACAAGCTCACAAACATTCATTACCCTGGTTATCTGTCACTTGTAGAAATCTTTTTCTCCTTTGTGTCTTCCTTTCCCACAAGTGGACCTTGAAAGCCTTCCTGATCTGCAGACATCCAACTTGTGAAGGAAACTGCTTAAAAAAAGAGGAGGCTGTAAGTCAAGTCCTTCTCCCTGACCACAAATGTTTTTCATTTTTTTTTCTGAGCACACCTAATGGCAACTGACTGAAACTTTTCAGGCAAACTCTGAAGTGATGTAAATGGCGTTCAAAGCTATAGCTGCTGCTGTTGTTCACTGAGATGCTGTAACAACTTTACTGGAAGTAAAACAGAGTATTCATTTATTTTGGATGAGAATGTTTCTTTTTTCACTTAAAAGAAATATATTACATTTTGAGAGGAAAAGAGGTCAGAAATTAGATCTTGTGGCTCTGCAGGTTTATGAATAGTTGAACTTGCTTATCTGTGAGTTGTGGTAATGATATTTTTAAATAGTTTGAACACTGGGGTTTTTTTTTTCACAGAAAATATTTACTGAAGATCACTTCAGAGGATCACTTATTGGAGGTATATGGAAAAGGAGAATGCTTTTCTACTGGTTTGAAGATGACTCTAAATTCTCACCTTATGATTTGGCTTCCCAACCTAGCCTGGATGTCAATAGCTTAATGCTGTGCGTGTGGTATACTTCTGTGCCCACATATGTGAACTATTGCAAGAATTGCAGAGCATGATATTAATTCCTATCCATGTGCTTAGCAGATGACAGCATTTATAAATAATTACAAAAATAACATCTGTAAACTTTTTGCCTTGTGAACCAAGACAGCACCATAGACTCTTTACTTCTGTTTGTGCTGGAAGTCTTGCTTCTAGGTCTTGAAAACGTTCTTGGTAGAGTCAGGTGGAACTTGATTGCTTTGTGCTGCAGTGGAGGAAACTGCTTTTGATGCCACAGCCCTTCTATTAACCTGGCCATGGGCTGGGTCTGTGCTGTAGGGGACATGCTGTTGAAGCCTGCAGGGTGACCTGTTCTTTGCCAAGCTGGAGCGCTTTGATGTTGACTTTTGTGGCATCAGGAGTTCAGGTGCGAAGTTTCTTTCTGCTGACTTCCCCCCCACCTTATTTAATTAAAAGGGAGAGAGCAAGGAGAATTATTCTTGTCATTCCAAGGGTGGGCTTTTAAAGAGATCCAAAACTGTCACTTTTAAGCACTTGTTATACATGTTGTGTCACTTAGTTATGCTTTTTCTTTGCAACCAGTGACCTTCCTTTGAGTTTAGCTTTCTTGCTAGAAGGCAGGGATTTATGAACACCAATGTTGACTTCTTAAAATAGAGTTTTTGAAACAGTCTGTTTTTTAATGGGCATTGAAAATTAACTTATAATTTGTTTGTAACCGGTAACTGTTCTTGAGCGGATAGTATCTTGAAGCTCCTACCATGCCATGCTTGGATGAGCGAATTCTGGAGTTCAGGCAAGTGGAACTTCCCTTTAAAGCAGTAGTAAAAAAGCAGCATCATTTTCAGCAAGGATCAGATCAGAATCAAGAAGGAGCTGACCTCAGAGGCTGAGGCCAGCACACACTTTTAGAAGGGGTTGATTTGACAGCTCCTGGCACTTCAGGCATGTTCCTTACACTGCTGCCCTTATGGGTCAGATATTGTGGTGAAGCTTCCTTTGTTCACGTTGATGCTAAAAAGCTGAGACTCAGCTGTGAGAATCTTTCACAAACTGTATCTTTTAAACAGCAAATTATTAGACAGGAGAAGGGGAGCAGGTTACATCCCCTCCAGTTTTTGCCTGTCTCCTGTGCTCACTGTGCTTGCTGTCATCAAAGACCTATCAAAAGCTGTAGCAGGAAGTGTTAGGAGCCTGCCTACTGTGTTCATTAATGAACTGGCGTCTGATGGTAGCATCTCTCTGCCCTTGCAAGCAGGTGTCACTGCAGCCAGCACGAATTACAGCCATTTTCAGGGGACAGCAACATGATTCAGCCAGTCAAAAACAATATAAATGAATGAAGTTTTCACAGTTCAGGAATTATGTATTTTTAGGAAGCTGAATGTGATGTAATCCAACAAGATAGCTGCATTTTTCTGAACTTAAATGCTTGTTCTGTTGCTGTCAGCAGGCAACACCACAGTGTAAAATTTGCAAGTTACAAAAGCAAAAGAATATGAGAATAAGGTAGGGTTAGAATATTTTTATCCCATCAGTGCTGGTATGTCCTGCAAAAGAAAATAGATTTGAGGTTCTCTAGATTTTTGTGACCAAAAAAATAAATAAAACAAAACCGAAACAAAACCCACCAAACCAATTTTGGGACAAAAGAGGCCAGATTTTGAAGGCCTTGAGGTGCTTTTCAGTGTGCTGCATGCAGTGCTAATGAAAAAATGGGCTCTGAAGTGATTTCTTAACAGTGCAGCTTTCATTCAGGCCTTTGTGTGTGGGCTGTACTAGTACAGAGCTTTAAAGTATGGTCTTGTTCCCTTTAAACCTTCTTGGATTAAGCTGTCCCAATAGCAGATGTGTAATGGTAGTGTTTTCTGGCAGCATGTAAAGGTGTCATGTTGCCTTTTACAGGATATGAAGTACAGTAATCTGAGAAGTCTGCATCTCTTGGTCAAATATTGTTTGTGTGCAAATACTCCATTTTAGAAACCTGAAGTAAAGAGGTGCTGACTGGGCAGAGTCTGCAGTACATGGACAGGGTTATATTTATGATGTTTCTCCCTGAATTCTTCCTGTTCCTCTCCTCTACTGGAACTAAATGGTAGTCATAATGAAAATGATCTTAGAATGGATGGGCAACCTGGTCAACTGTATTTATTTTAAGACCTCATATGTTTCATTTAATAAAGTTGGTCACCAGGAAAGTTGATTACCTGACAAATATGGTGAATTAAATCAGAACCCAGTAGTAGCTCTTTGCTTGCACACTCCTTTACCCAGAGTCTCCAAGTGCTGTTGTGAATTCTGGGGAACCAGAGGGCTTTTAACAGCAGAGCAAGCCAAGTGTCTCTTGAAACTGCCACATGGAAGCTGCTGTGAACCAGATGGGTGTTTGAAGAACACAAGAAGTGGTTGAAATTGTCTAGGTTTTTCTTCAAGCTTTCTGACTTAATTCTGTAGTCTTGTTCAAATTTTTGACTCTTCTGAAAAGGTATGTGGATAGTGTAGTCTGGTCAAAGTATGTGCTCAGGCTGAAGAGTGTGAACAAATCATGATTTTTTTTCTTTTTTTTTCCAGTTGACATGTGATTTCTTAACATCTTTCCCATATATTTCCATTGATTATTTTTTTTCAAGAGCAACTTAGAAAACTGAAGTACTGCTTCTTTTTCTCTGTTAGTAAATACATCTCAATTCTATTTCTACAGCACCGATACTGCCTGTAAACAAGAGGTCATCAGTGATCTATAGATTACGGCTCCAGCAACACAAACCAAACCATCACCATGAAACACTTCCTGAGGTAACTGTTCTGTATTTTTTCAAAAGTGTTAAATTGTTCTAATTACTTCTGTGCTGTAGTGAGTTAAGTGTTCTAGCTGTTACCAGCAGCACAGAAGGTGAGAACTAGTTTATACTAGATTGCTTTCTGTTAACCCAGATTTCACTATTTAATTAAAGCTGTTTTAATTTAAAACTTCCAGTTCTTTATAGAAGCAAAGAATGTGGAAACTGTCTTATGGGATTGGAGCATAGATGCATCAAATCAGTTGTGCCTGATACGTCAGGGGAAAATAGGAGACAGTAACATTGAACAGTGCTTGAAAAATGTTGGGATTTTTTGTTCCCCTTCTTGTCTGCTGTCTGGATTTTTGGAGTGTTGCTTGTGTAAGTGGAGAAGGGGAGATGCTTGGTGAAGATGTGTGAATGTTTTTTTGAAGCCAGTTGTGCTCAATTTGGGCAGAAATGTCTATTATTTGCTCCTATGTATGACTTACAAGTGTTTCTCTATAAACCAGGGGTAGTAGTATGGGGGACTTGCAGACATCAGCTGTAGGTGCAGAAAGCCTATGTTGTCTTTGTTCTGTAGTCAGTGGAGAGAGTTCAGCACTCTTAGAAACTAATACAGATCAAGAGCTTAATTTGTGTATAAATCAAATAAATCGTTCTGTCTGGATGGGAAAAACCTTTTCAAAAGGGATGAAACATATGTTTCTGTGTAGAGCATCTGCCACTATATTTCTCTCTTTTTAGACTGTTTATAGCAAAGAATCTTATACACTATGGATATCGGCATGATTACCTCTAGGCTGATCATCTGTAATGATTTTGCTGCCAAGCCAGCCTTGGCTTAAGCATTTCTGTGGAATCTTTGGGTCAGTTTCCTCGGGTATCTTGATCCAGCTGCAAAAGGACTCTGTAAGCAAGGCATACACACATTAAAAGTATAAAGCAATTACTCATCTGCAGACACCCACAGAAGACAGCTAAGATTTAATGAGCCATTAGGCTAAGTGTTAGTATGCTCCTTACCCTGATAGGCACCAGCCAGGAGGGAAAGAATTTGCCCCTGCAGCTCTGCGGCTCTGATCCTGGATTGTCTGAAGTCTTCCACCAAGTCCATTGATACTGGTCCAGGGGCCTGCTGGTTAACAGCTAGCCTGGCTAACATCCCTGCAGTGCTTTTTCACTCTACAATTTTATAAAGTCCCACCCACGTTGGGACCTTCCTTCTTGGATCCTGATAGTGATTTCCGTCTCAGCAGTCCTACCTCTATCATTTTTACCTTTCTTTCTCTGTAGAGATTTGCTCAGCAGCGTGGCCCAAGCTCACAAATTGGTCCTCTATGGGATCTGGGCTGTGAATCCCACCTAAATGGGACTTTATTCGTCTGTGGGTGGGAGCCTCCAGCTGGGGTCACAGAGGGTGTAGTGGCTTGCGCCCTCTATGTCCTGGTGTCTTTTGAGCATAATATAATTTTGCTCCCTCCTGATGGAGAAGCTGAGCTGCTGACAACTTCTAAGCTGCCAGCTCTTCCCTGACTACAGTAAGTGCTCTGCTTCTCCCTTTAAGCTGCCTGTTCTGCCCTCCTTTGGCTGTCCTGGCCCCTTGGTGTTTTTTTTTTCATGTTGGAGAAAGCCTTCTGGTTTTAATATTTGGGTTCATGAGGCTGTCTTGAAGAAACTACCTTCTACTTTTCATTATATTTCTAAAGTCAGTGAATCCTTAAAGATTTGAGAAGCCTTGATGCTGTTAGCTTCTCCTAAGTAGCCAAGGTAGATCTTCTGAAAAGCAATTGCTTATCTAAATAGCACAGTTTAGGACTTTGTTTTGGAAAGTCCCGTGTTCCAAATGCTGAACAGAGAGTCGGATTAAGGGAGGGGAAGAGGAATACAGAGCACCTCAAATAGGAAAATGCTGTTGAAATAGGAAAGCTACTCTGTTTACTTACAAGCAACTGTATTTTCTTATTTTATGTTAATCCTTTGACATGAACTGATATGAGTACTATACTCCTCATAATTTGGAAATATAGAAGAAATATGGGGACATTAAGAAATAAACTGGGGTCATCCTCCAAGAAAAGCACTTACTGTGGATAGCGAGTTCTGTTGTATTTGTTGTGGTTGCAGGTTTCTGTGATAGAGCATAAGGCAGTAAAGTTTGGAGCTGCAGGGAGATCTATGTGCGATACAAGGATATTAAGCCTTCCAGCTTCAAAATTGGCTGGAAAATAAACAAGTTAGCATATGTCCCCTAGTGTTTGTCTATTATCAGTAGCAGCAGCTGCTCAGGAGCTTGCTAAAAGCATCCTTAACTGCTTGTGAAGATCACATGCAGGGTTGAATGTGGTGTACTGGTGGCGAGGACTGCTCAGTGGCACCGTTTTCCTTGTTGCACAACATGGAGCAGACACTGGACTAGCTGATGCTGATGGTATAGATTATCTCTGTGTTTAAAATCAATGAGTTTAGTTAAGTCTATACAAACTGTGGGTCATCTTGTTGACTGCAACATCGAAAATGCCATAGAACAGATGGAGAGAGGAGCAGGGCTTTCATCTGTAAAGTTAAGATTACTGTCACTACTCGGAGAGAGTAGTTGAGGTTGTTTGCCTGCAGCAACTTCATGGAGCAGATATTCCCTGGAGACCCAAGGAGCACTTTCAACAGTGACTGCCAGCTTCTTGTTAAGAGAAGACAATCTCACCTGTAGGCAGACACCACTCAGCACCACTCACTCTACTCCTGCCTTTCCCAGGACTGTGTTGCACATCTGAATAGTGAAGAACGGGGCTGTGCTTACACAAATGGTGGCTGCTTTGACATCTAGATCTTTTATAGGAATATAATTTTTTTTGAATAGACTAGGGGGTCCTTAATGTAACACAAGTCCATCTCTGGCTTTTCATCTACCTGTTTTCAACAGCTGCTGCCTTCCAGTGGAAGGAGAAGCTTTTTTAAAACAAATAGTCTAGTACTTGGAATAACACTAAATCCCTAAATTTAGGGGAGTGCTGTTGGCCAGTAAACTGCAGGACTCTTACGCTTATATCTATAATCCAAGGCAATGTCTAAATGAAAATAGCTGTTCTAGGTTTCTTTTCTTTCTCAGCTTGCCCTGATGTGAATTATTCCTAAAGTCTGAAATATTACGTATGAAATAATAAAACTGTTTCTCAGTGAAATACTTAATCTTTCAGTGCTTTCATTTTTTGTTAAAGGGGTTTTGAGGAGTCTTGTCAGTGATGCTTCTCCTTTGACTGTAACATCTTAAGCATCTGAAATAATAACAACTTGGAGAACCAACTATAGCAGACATTTAAGTTTTTTCAATAAATCCTGGAAACTCGACACCTTCTCTTGATCTACTCCAAAACAGTCTGTAAGCACTAGCAGATTTTAAGCATAAGTTCTGTCTTACTGGAGTCACATCAAATAAAATGAAAATGAAGTCTCCAAAAAGCAAGACCAGGGAAAGTGTGGAAAGCTGCTGTTAAAACCTACTCTTATGTCTTCCTTCGTTGCCACGGTGACTTGCTTTCATGTCTAAATGGAGAGAGAAGGTGGATTTCAGTTGTCAAATCTCCAAAGGCATAGAATGAAAAAAAATTTTTGTTTTTAAAGGAGCTAATAGCAGGTTTGCCTATGGAAGAAATGGTGATTGGTACATTACTTCTTGGTTGACCTTGTGTACAAACTGTAAGTTATACAAATAAACCAAAGACAGTCAAGTTAGTTAGCTCTTAACAGGGTAGTATCACTTGCTTACTCATCTATTCAGACAGCTTGTCATCCATAACTAACTCGTGTCCTTGACTTCTCAAGCCATAATCAGAATTCTCAGTAAGGAAAGTTGATGTGTAACACTTGCATCTCTGAGCTGAGTATGTCCATCAGGAAAAATAGTTGTGTAAGAGTCTTGCCTATCCATAGGACGTAAAGCAGGACACATAGGAAAGAAAATGATGTGTAAGTAGATTGGGTGACTTTTGTTTCATTCTTTTAAACTAGTGGGATGAGGGGGGTGTTGGCTTTTGGGGTTTCCTTGCTTTTTTTTTTTCCCCTAATTTGAAGTTCAGTCACTAGAATTGGGTACTTAGTTGAAGTTTTCATTTTACCCAAAATATTTGTTCAGTTTGTTACTAGCTCTGAAAATACAAACGTTCTGAAATTAGCAGGGGGAGGGAATAAGTGCCTTCTAATTTATTAGTTTCAAAAATGTTGAATCATAATGAATCTCTGCTTCCCTTCATGTCAGTGAAATACCACATGTTGCATTGTATACACATCTTGCTATGTAGTCATATGCACCTCACACAGTAAAGACTTTCACAGAAGTATTAGACAGCTTTGGAAACTTTTGCTCAATTTTGCTCCTGCCTGTTTATCATGGAGAACACTGGCTAGAGCCAGTCGCCTTTAAATAAAAAAGCCAGATTTCATGAAAATGTGATGTCATACTGTCATTGGAGAGAGATGTAAATTCTAATAACCATGGCCTGCGCCATTCCCGTCACACTGACCCAACATCAGTTGGGATAGTTGAGGACAAACCTTGAGACCCCTTGTCAAGAACCACTGCTGTGCTTCCCTTTGCAATGTCAGGGTGTAAAACATGCTCAGCTCTCTCTGCTTCTTGCTGCTGCGTGCTTCCTTACACCCAGAGCAGCATGTGCTGTGGAGAATGGAAGTGCTGTGACTGCAGCAGTGGTACTCTTACTCTGTGCTCTTTTTGGCTCTGAATTTCTGTGTCTTGCAAAGATCCTGGCAATTGTAGAACCCCCTTTCTTCATCCTTTCCCTCATGGAAGAGAGCTCTCTAGAATCTCTGCTGAGCCCTGTTATTGCCAGTATAGATTTGTTGCTTGCTTAGTTTTGCAGCATTCCTGATAGTCCTTGCAAGGTACTGACTGTCTAATTGTTTTTTTGGTTAAAACTGTTCTTAGAAGCAAATCAGAGCTGAGGCGTAGAGTGACATACAGCAGGGAAGATGTGAAAAAGATGAAAGTAGAAGAGCAAGGAAGAAGGAGAGGTGAAATAGCTGAAATAGCCCTTAACCTATGTTTGCTAATTATATATAAGAAAACTTCATGTTTCTGGGGTACTTCAGGATGTTGTGGTGGTAGCTTTAGCACTGAGCAGTATTCCATAAGTCTCTTACAAACATGCAAGAGAATACTTCCTCATTTCAGAATATTCTGATGTTTTGATTTTTGTTTTTCTTGGAACTGAAATAACAAGTGTGTTTTTCTGTGGTATTGATCTTAGAGTTCAGTGACCCTTTCTGTGAGCCAAGTTGGGAGAACTATGCTGAGTTGTATTGGTACTGCTCAGGAGCCAACAGCTAGCTTCTGATGTCCAAGTGACTGGCATCAATGACTGGGAATGTGTAACCCTGAATTCTCATGGGAGGATGGCTGCATGTGTTTGCACTCATACAGCAACCTTGGCAAGGGAACTGCCTATTGATTTGGCCTGTGTGCATCAGCACCTTATTACGCAGTTTTTTTCTTTGTTTTACCTGAATAAATGTTTGTATGAGCTCTTGTACTGTACTTTGCACATATAAACCCAAATCTGTAAGTCTGTACAGCTGTACAAGAGGAGAAGGAGCTTGTGTCAGAATGGGGGAAAAGTAGAGTGCAAGTCTCTGAGGAAGACCTTAATTTCTGTAATACTTCTGTTCTTAAAGCTCCCCTCAAGGCCTGAAGTATTGCTGTACACGACTACACAAACTGCTGGTGAAGAGCATGGTTTTCTGTGCTGAGAGAACCAGCAACGGCAAGCAGAGGGGGGGCGAGGGGGGAAACCAAACCAAACCAAAACCAAAAATCAAACAAACAAAAAACCAAACACAGAAGAGATTGACCGGAGAGAAGATTTGGAGTTGGACTCTAAAACAAACCAGAAGTTAATGCCACTGTGCTGTAGTCAGACATGTCTCATGCTACGCTTCCTTGTGGGTTCTTTTTCATGACACACTATGTTTTGTTTTATAGCTGCCAGTGTCTCCACTTTGCTTACATGAACTGAAGTGCATAGCAGCTAACATAAAGCTTGTCTTATTTAATCACTAGTATGCTTTTATTACAGGACTTCTGCAAGCAAGAATACCCTTTTATAAAGCAAAATACTTTGAAAACAAACTTGTGTTACTTTTTATGCTGTTCCTGTTACAAATGGAAGATTTCGGCTGTTGTAAACTTGAAATGGATGAGTAGTAGAGAACTGAAGGTATCCACAAAGGCTGACTTTCTTCTATAAGCTACCTAGTCAAAACTAGTGTGTGTTTGCTTTATTAGTAATAGCTGCTGAGTATCTTTCAGTGAATCACAGATGTAGTGTTTGCGTGCTGTAGTAACATGTTTTTAGTAGATGCATTTTTATTATCTAGCCTTTGTGCAAGCCACAGCCAAAGCAAAACTGTAGTGGGGAAGGTGGTTGCAACCATGGGCGATCACAGCTCTATCCCATTTACAGCTTTTCCTTTGATTTGCAAATCTGTAATTGAGCCTAAAGGCAGCTACATATAATTCAAATGCACCTAACACCTTCCCTGCCCCTGAAACTTATCCACATCACACAATACAGTAAGAAACAAGGTTTTGAGCAGTGAAATGGGTTGTGATGTTTCAGGCCTGGAGGCAATTAAGTGTAGGCATGACCTTAGTTAAAGGACCTGTGGTTGTTATAGGAGCTGTCTTGCTCATTAGAAGGAAATCTTACATGGGCTGTTAACGTGAAGTTAGGTGAGGCTTTCCTCCCTTCTTTCATGTACAAGTTGGTAGTGAGTTGCTCTAATAGAGACCTAACCTTTGGAAACAAAGCAGGCCAAAAGGAAGCAACTCTAATTTCTACTACAAATGTATGGTGAAAACCCAGAACTTTGTTTTACCACACTCCACCTTCCAGTTTGGCATTAATCTCTTGTATCGTTTGCCTGGACCTTCAGCCTAAGTACAGAGCTGGGGTGTGCTGAGGAGACTGAGGGATGGCTATAGGTTGTGTTTGGATTCTTCAGGGATGGTGGACTAGTCAAATCTATGAGGGTTGATGTCAAATGTCTACTGAAAAACCAAAATGCCCAATGTTAGCCTGTGGGTTTTTTTCAAGCCACTATTAAAGGTTTCAGTTGAAGGTGTTAGTGGTCTTTATATGAGGTTGACTCTTTAAGTGACTTACACTACTGAATGTTGTAAACTTAAAGAATCCCTGCTTGGCTGATGATAGACTTGCTCCTGATAACAGATCTTCTTAATACTGAAGGTGATAACCTGCTGTGAAGCACTGACAGACTCCTCACAGTAGTGTGTTCTGGCACGTCTTAGGGGAGGTATGGGGAGGCAGGCACAGGACCTGTGTGTCAGCAGTGTCAGCAGCTGAAACCTTTTTGCTTGTCTAAAAGTTGATTCCAAAGTGGGAGTGATTCCTCATTCTTTAGGTTTCACTTTGTATCTAAAATAGAGGCTTCCTGTTGCATAAAGACAAGGGGTTTGCCTGCATGCAGGCATTTGGGCAAGTTAAGTGAATTAACTAAAAGTGTGAAGATAAAGTGGATGTTTTTAAAGCATGTTAAATACTTGTGTGAGTGCTCTCCATTTAAACATAAAATGGCTTTAGTTCCCTTAGTTTAATCCTTCTTCAAAGGGGATTAAGCTAAAGTGAACATAAAGCAGATTAAATTCTTGTGTGGATATTAACATGAGTTAATTTATCTTCCATTCCCTGAATGTCCTTCTACACCATGCCCTCCAGGATGTTTTTTAGGAAGTGATGGAGCTCCTTGAGCTTTATTAAAGCTATAACTGATTTCAGTATCTGGAATTCAGTATTTCAGAATAACCACCACAGTCTGTTGAAAAGGAATCTCCTAACAAGTAACTCTCCTTTAGCATGTGGAGGAGATAACGGGCTAATGATGAATACACATACACACAGGTTTAGAACATAATGGACCAAATTATTTTTGACCATTCAATGGTAAGCAAGCATATCAAAGCTGTATTGATGTTTTCCCATAATATGCTCATAGAATATAACCACAGAAAGTTTGAGGCTGGTAAGGATGTCTGGAGGTCATCTAGTCCACCCCCCCGGCTCTAGCAGGGCCACCTAGAGCCAGTTGCCCAGGATTGTGTCCAGATGTTCCCATTGTCAGGTCTTTGCAATTTGCCTTTTCAGAGATGTGCCTCTGAACCCAAGGACCCTGGGTGGATCTTCCCCATCACCTCTAGTCCTGGAGCACCCCGTAGGGGTTGACAGTTGAGTAACATGGCAGAATCTATGCCTTTATAACCATAGAAACAAGGAAGCTAAATTGTGTTCAAGTAAGTTGTAGCTCATGAAATCTGGTTTTGGGGTGTGTTATGTAATTGTGGTAGCAGTATGTGGGCTTCAGTAGCAGCTGCAATACTAAACTAGCTTTAAAATAGACTGTTTCTCATGTATGCAGCCTTTTTCAGGCTTTCATAGGATCACAGGATAGCTCAGGCTGGGAGGGACCTCAGCAGGGCTGCAACCTCCTGCTCACAGCAGGGCAGCTTTGAGGTCAGACTGGGCTGCTCAGGGCTTCTTCCAAATCACGGCTTAAAAAACTCTGCGGAAGAAGACTGCACAGCCTCTCTGGGCAACCTGCACCACTGCTTGACTGTCCTTACGGAGAAAAAACTTCTCCTTATATCTAGATTGAGCCTCTTATGTTTCAGCTTATGACTGTTATCTCTTGTCTGCCTGCCCTGCAGCACTGTGAAGAGCCTGGCTCTTTCTCCTCCATGATCTTTCTACAGGCACTGGGGGCTGCTCTTTGGTCCCCCTGAAGTTGTCTCTGCTCTAGGCTGAACAAGCCCAGCTCCCCCAGCCTCTTCTTGCAGAGCCTGTGCTCCAGCCCTACCATCTTGGGGGCTTCCACTGAAATTCATCGTTTGTCAAAGCCTGTCTTGTATTTTTGGGGCTCAAAACTGGATTCAGCACCTAATTAAGGCCTTTCTTGCCTTACTGTCAGTTCTGTACTTTGAGAAATTGCAGAGAATCAGTGATGAATAACAGCTCATCTTGGGAAGAACTGACAGTCCTTAGGACATGGTCTTAGATGCCTTCTCTCCCGACGGGGGGAAGCTTTGGTTTCCTTAATCATCACTCTTAGGGACCTACCATAAGTGTAGATTTGTGTTTATCAGGATAACAAACCACTCTGCCTGGAGCAGCTAGATGCAGAGGCAAAACTAAGCCAAGGTGTAGTGGCTCCCTGGATCCTCAGCAGCCATGATAGCAGGGTGAGCTGTGCTCCCTTCTCGTGTAGTCCTGTTTCCTCAAAGCATTAGTAGGAATGTGGCCTTTTATTTTAAGGAGACAAAGAGTTTTCTAGAAATAATCATCTGAGAACTCTGGAGTTGGCTTATTCTGTGCTTCCACTTCTGCTGCTTTGTGTGTGGTTTTTTGTTGTCTAAGACTAAAAAGCATTATTTAATACTTACCAGGGTAAACGTTTGCAGCGCGAATGCTCCTTTTAGGCAATAGGAATTCGGGGTGAGGAAGTACCTTCTGTTTGGGTGGTGACCTTGTTGAAACAAACTCTGCTCAAGATGCTTATTTTCAGGAATCTTCTTTTGCCAGGATGTTTGTCCAGGTATGCCTGTACTTCTACTGCAAATGCTTGTGGCGCTGCCTGAAATTTGTGGTCAGGAAACTAACGGGTCGATGTGAATTACAAAGGATCTGTTACAATACCAAACCTGGAGCTGCCAGAACTATGAAAATAGGTAACTGCAAAATACTTAGTTCTGCATGCTTTTGCACCTTTCTGCAAGGGCTAAAAATAGTATGACTTTATTCTTATAAATAAGTAAATAAGTTGTTAAATGAATCCAATATGAACTTAGCTTGTCTGACATGATGTTTTCAAATACTGTTCTCTTACAGAGGCATCACTGAAAGGTTCAAAAAGTAAGGTGAGTGAAAGATCTCATAATTTGCCTTTTTTATTGTGTCCTGTGCACTTGGTTTGTTCAGTCTGTTTGCTTACCCCAAAAAATCACTTTAAGGTTTGATATGGTTTTACATTAGAACCATCTTCTACTGAAGAGGGTCTTGTGTCTGCAGTAGCAAGTGATCTTGCAAAGTCAGAGAAAGTGTCCTGTGCTCCAGGGTCAGTCTGGCACTGATGGAATCAAGGGGGCAACAAGTCATGGTGGAGACAACAAAGGTGATGTGTTGTAATTTGGGATTTCTTGCCTTGATTCCTCATCCTGTCTTAGAATTTCTGTAGTGTGCAGTCAGTCACACACTTTACACCTCAGGGGTTTTTTGTCTGGAAAGCAGGGATAAAAGAGGCTGAAAGCAGCAGAACCTAGTTAACAGAGAAGAGCCTCTGTCACCTCATCCTTTCACTGTAGCATGGGTGCTAACCTAAATTCTTATTAATCATTTGTGTATGTGTTAAATACCATCATTCAGCTGTTCATTTCTCTTTGGCATGAGAATCACCAATGTTGAAAAGCTTACCTCAGCATTAGCAAAAACAATGTCATATAGCTCATAGAATGGTATGTCCAAATATGCTTCTAGCACAAAAGGCTGAATCTTATTTAAAAGCCAGTGTTTAAGCAATTGTGTAATTTTAAGATAATAACCAGAAAGTTCAACCTTGTGACTTTTTGGAAGGCATGTTGATTTTTTAATACTGAACTTCCAGGGGCATCTCTACAAAGTGCAAAGACATTCAAGAGAAAGGAAGAATGCTTTGCTGTGATACTGCAACCTGTTGGGAGAGGGGGTGCCAAATGAAGGCTCACAATTGCAGTGTAATGAGGAGGATGGTCTGAAGCTGCTGCTCAATCAAAGGGCTCAGTGGAGATCATCTTCACTGGCAGCTGCCATGGAAGTGCTGCTGTAGACTGACTACAAGGGCATGGGGAAGCGACTTGAGTTCTCATAGGGCTAGTGCTATGAAACTAGTCCATAGTCCCAGGGTCGAATAGACTGGAAAGATGTGTATATATATTGAGTTGGGTCTTGTGGGCTCTTAACCTAGAAGCTTTTGGGTACTGAATTTACCGTTGTTAACTTCTATTGAATAATAGCTTCCGTAAGAATTAATATGTGTTTAAAACCTCTTTTTAGCGGCTGCAAACTTCAGTAAGTGTTCACCCTGATGCTATTGAAAAAACTATAGATGACATCTTGGAGCTGAAAAGGATTAATCCAGATATAAATCCACAGTAAGTTCATAGTTGCCTTACAAAACAAATAGGAATTATTGATTTCTTCAATGCCTAGGTCCCTGGAGAACTAGTTCTCCATAGCTGTTGTGGCACACAATTTGAAGATTAATTCTGTCTCTCAGTACAAAACTACAACTTAAGCTTTGCTGTCAAAAAGCTGATGGAAAAATGAATGATATTTTATGGTGACTGTAATAGGCAAGTCCTGAGTTTCTTTATCTAGCTCCTTCCTGAATCATGCTGTCTTAGTATGTTGTTGATGCATTGATTTATGGGGACCACTTCCTCAGGCATAAAATGCCACCCAAGCAGGTGGTCCTGACAGTGACAGTGACGGCTTCTTAGCACGGCTCTATGCAGCCTTTTGAGTAGGGAATAAATCATCCCGTTGTGATATAAATGATATACTGGTTTACATTTTAAAACTGCTTTGAATTATCCAAACATAAGTTTTAATGATACAACATAGCTGATATTCTTTTTGATACTACAAGAAGTTAGTGCTAAGAAGAGACTGACAACAAACCATTAAATTTACAAGCGTGTATTTCAAGTGTAAGTGGTAACATTCTTGTGGTTGCCTTACCTCACAGCCCCTAGCTTAAGGTGCAATTATGGTCTAGTCCAGGAATAGGTGGGAGAAATGTTGAGGGTTTTGTTATTCAGGTGATCAGTCTGAGATTCACTCCTCTTCCCAAACTTTAAATCAATGTATGTAATCCAAAATGAGCATCCATAAATTGAAAGCTGCTTTTCTTTAAGTGGTCAGCAGCACCAACAGGTAAGGTGGTCCCAAGGTCTTGCTTCAATAACAAAAACCAAAAGCTCAGTTGGAAAAATAAAATTTTTGAGGGGTCTCATTACAGGAATGACCCCCGAGCCCTATTCCCCAGTGAAAAGGACAGTAACTGGGTAGTCTTAAAATGAGGCTTCAGTGATCACAAAGGAAATAGAGCACACTTGAGAGACAGCTGTTATGGACATGACCACTGTCCACCTGGATTGAAAAATGGCGACCCAACCATTAAAGAAGGGAGGAAAATAAGAGAAACAAAACAAGTAAAACACCTCCTTCTCAGATGTGGAGTTTTTCAAGGAGTGGGCCAGAGCTTTTCCAGGGGTGTCACTTTACAGAACCTTGCCCACATGACCTTCCAAGGGAGGGTGATGAAAGAGCAGCTGCTTCAAGGGCATGTGAATCCTCACTGAGATGCTGCCCGTATGAGGAGGGTGTCACAGCTCTGGTACTCTTGCATTGCAAGGGATGCTGATAGCTGAAATTCAGAAGAAAAAAAAAATTAAGCCATGGCAAAATTAGTGAGGGTGGCATACAAGGAAAAAAAACCTCAGAGCCTGTGCACATCAGCAACTGCAGCCTGTGAGTTAGTGATCAGGCTGATTCAAGTACTCACTTCTCAGTGTTGGACCCATGGGTAACTGGGTGGAATACTTCCAAGGAAAATGAAGGAATTCATTAAAATAGTATTTTGTGTGACACCAGAGATCTTCTGCTTCTCCTCATGGCATTGCCTTTGGCCTCTGAGGATATGCTCTCTTTCAGAAGACAGAGAGCAGAGGTGCAAATTATTTCTGCTTTCTTGAATCAGGCTCCTGAACCTTAACTTAGATTTTGAGTGATCTGGCCCTAATACTAAAAAAAACCCCACAAAAAAACCCAAAAAAAACCAACAACAAAAGCCCAAACCACAACACACACCAAAAAAGACCCTACCACATCAAGCCCACAAACTGAAAAACCACTGAATTATTTTTTGTTTAATCCAAGTGGTGTTTATATGTCTAGCACATAATTAATGCTTAATTGTTTTTGGACTAGAACCCCTGCAGTCAGCATTTTACAGGACTGAGTCTTTCACCCCCTCCCACTTTGGGGAAATATTTTTTCAAAACAGTGAGGAATGGGGGCCTGGGTTGTGGAAGGTGGTGCCACATACATAGAAACACACCCTGCCACTAAATTACTCCTTATATTAAATTAATCCTAGTTCTACTAAACATTAAGCATCTGCACTGAAGTTTCACATGCAAGCCACTTATTTTTATACTAAAGTTTTCTAGAAAAAATTTAGCAAAAGCAGGTCAGCGATTTCTTTAGACAGGATTAAGGAAAATCTATTTGCTTGCTTACTCCTCAACATAAAAAAACTGCATCCAGACCATCTTGCTCAGAAGCTCTGACCTTCCCTTGCATAGTAAAGACTTAAAATCCCCTGGGATAAGGACAAGGGGACGTGTTATACTATATGTTTCTGCAAATCTGTATGCAATCTTTTTTGTTATTGTGGCATCTCTGCAGACCTGAACTAGCATCCCAGGGCTGTTTACACTGAGCTCTTCCTGAAAGCTGTGGGCTCCCACGACCTGAAGAGAAGGAGCCCCACAATAATTTCCCTTTATCAGTGCCTCTGAGATAAGTGTGTATGTTTAGTGGTGGGAGCAAGTAGATTGAATAACCAGGTGATGACACATGCAGTCTACACACAATACTCCGTTTGGCCTCGCCTCCATCTCCTGGAATGCCTGGAGCTGAGTGAGCTGGGGGTGCAAGCCCAGGCAGGTTGCTCCTGTGCTCTGAAAACTGCCACTGCGAGCACAGGGGTGGCAGGGAGGAGGCTGGGGCATCAGCAGCTCACCCGTGTCCTCTGTTAGTGCTGCTGGGGCAAGGGAGAGCAAAAGCTCAATGAAAAGGAGAGTGGGGAAACTAGTTTCCCCCCTGCCCTCCAGGAATAAGATTGCACAGAGCGCTGACTGGCTTTAGATACAGCGCAAACATGGCTTGCTTTGTATATGTTGTGCAACTTGAAAATTTAAAAAAAAAATATATTTTTAATATAAAATTCCTCTGCTTTGCCACTGCCTTTGGTGTTTTGCACTAAACTATTCTAACATGATTGAGTAGTTAAAAACATTATGGCTGTGGTTTAGTGATGTACAACAGCAATTCACATGCCCTCTTGTCAGGCTTTTCAGCTTTCCTTGAAATGCAGCCTTTCTGTAAAACTGTAAGGTGTAGCAAGTGAAGCATGTAACAAAAAAAAAAAAAAAAAAAAACAAAAACAACCAAACAAAAAAAAAAAACCCACAAAAAAACTCCACAAAACCAACCACACCACCAAACAGCATGGGAGGGAAAACACTGCACAGGTTATTCCAAAAGGTTTATAACCACAAATAGCATGAAATTGTAACAAGAGAAGTGGCCTAATGACAGCTCTGATTCTGTAGATTAATCTCAAAAGATAAGCGGGGAAAATCCTTCTGCTCAGAAAAGTTCACAGTATTATGGAATAAACAAAATATTTCAGCATATCAAACAAGAAAGATGAGGAACCTGTGCAGCTTGGTATCAGTGCAGTCTGTTCCACAGAGTAATGAGGATACAGATCTGTCTGTGCCCTCCAAATTCATACTAGGCGTTCAGATAATTTCAGACATTATTAAAAATTGAAGGATTTATTCCCATGTATAATTAAGTATTCTTCTGAGCGTGGCAGTTGTGTACTGCATAACTTGTATTTAATATTATGAAATCTTAACCTAAAACTAAGTAAGTCTGTAATTTAAAGCCTTGGAAGCTACATGTTTGGTGGGGGTTTGGGATTTTTTCTGTTTTGATTTTTGGGATTTTTTTGTTTGGTTGGTTTGAGGGTTTTTTGCCTTAACAATGCATCAGGAAATGTAAAAAGGCAACATAAAATTTGCATTATAATGAAAAGAGAGCCATTACGGTTATTGTTAACATGAGACTGAAAAAAATGCTGCCTAGAGGCAGATCTTTGAAATATTACTTCAAGTTTTTGGGTTCTTTATGTGAGCTTTTGTGTCATGGAAGCTAGATTAATATTTTTAGCTTTTTGCTGAGTTCCCCCTCTCACCCTTTTTTTTTAAGTTCACATCTCTGCTCTCGGGGCATGGTTTGAGAAGCTGCCATTTGAATGAGAGGAAAGATTCAGTGATGTGCTTGTAGAGGCGCTCAGTGCTGCTGTGTATAGTTGCAATGAGATTTCAATGTGTGAAAATTCACTGTTCAAAGATCTAAAAAAATCCCAAATGTTATTATCTAAGGAAGGCACTAAATAAGACTATGCATTTAACAAGGCCTTGTTTGATGTGATATTGATCTCTGAGTATTCTCCTATTGTAATTAAAGCATCAGACTACCAATTCATTCATGTAATATGACTTGTGAATTAAATGAGTATGTATGCGGTAGCGATGTTTTGTGTCTACATATGATGGAGTTGGATTATTTGATCCTTTTCCCACCCACTTAGGTTGGGAATATCTCTTCAGGCATGCCTGATGCAGATTGTGGGATACAGAAATCTGATTGCAGAGGTTGAAAAGCTGCGCAGAGAGCCGTACGATTCAGAGAATCCGCAACATGAGGAAATGCTTATGAAGGTAGGTGATTGAGGTACTTAGAGGGCATCCTTTAAGTCGGCTCCAAACAGCCTGGTTTATAAACATCTTTAAAACATGAGAGGTATTGTTGCCTTCCTTCATCATATACCTGTTGCAAGATAAAGCTATACATCATGTTAATGTAGTCTAGGTGTAACACCTGCCAAGCAAGCAGCTCGTTTGCTGGTTGAATGCGTGTCCCTTGGCTGGACTATGTCTAGGCACTGGATACCCAGGTCTTACTGCAGACAACAGCTCTGTGCTATGAGCTCTGGAAAAATAGCTGTATGTCCTACTTCAGTACACCTTTCTTCAACATAAGAAGGGTATTTTTCTCTCTTAACCAGAGTAAACATTTTTTGTTTCTTGTATTTTTGAAGACATTGCCTGTGTATTTCAGCGGCAAACCTCTAGCTTTCATTGTGTGGGCTGGAAGGGTGGGAGGTGATCACTTACATCTTTATATTTACCAAATATATTTTTGAATTAAAACAAAATGAAACCATTCTTTAGCTAATACATGCACAGTGACGAAAATGATACCAATTGGTTTTTTGCATACTTCATGCTTTCAGGAAAGCCTTGCACTGGAGCAGATAATAAAGTTGTTTTTTCAGGAAGATGATCTTGAAGCCATAAGCAGAGGGAGAGCTAGAGAGCTCATATGTTAGAAAGGAATTGAGGAGAGAATAAAGGGGTGGAAAATACTCTAATAGCATGTCCCAATATTTCTTTTGATCCTATTTCTGACCATAACTAGTGTAAGATTCTTCAGAGGGATGGAAAGAAACACAGAATAGTGATAATGCGATTATGAGCAAAGTGCCTTCTTACAGAATTTTCAGTTGTCTTATAAAAACATACCGTTTGTTTGGTTTTTTTATTATTTAAAACACTTCCTTAGGTTCTGTCCCCATCCAGCTTTGTCGGGATAATGAAGCTGTCTTCCACGCTGCAGTTTGCAGTGTAGTGCCTTACACAAGTTACAGTGGGAGCTTCTGGAAATGTTACCTTAGTTACTTGGGCTTCCAGGCATTTCCAAAAATCCCAGTAGGCGTCTTGTATAAGCACTTAAGGATGCAAATAACTATTCCTAAAAAATGCCTCAAATGGTCGGAGAGTTCCTGTAGGTGTCTGGAAGGCTATCTCTAAGGTTGCCTCCTTGCTGGGAGGCGGGAGTCTTGCCAAGGAGGAGACAAAATCCAGAGTTGCCTCTGAAGGAGTGCTCTAGCCACTAGGTAGGATGGGGCAGATGGACTCTTCCTACTCAAGTCCTGCCCCTGTGCAGCCAGAAGCACAAATTTCTTGGGGGCAGAGTGGGCTTTACCTAAGAGGACACACAGATTTACATGGTGAGGAAACTTGTGTCTTGGAGGTGGGAGGTCCAGGTGCCAGCCTACAATGTGGGTCCCTGAAAAGACCAGATACCTGGCTGCAGGTTTGACAAAGGCCTTTGGCTCCAGGGAAGCATTCCTAAATGCATTGGGCATCTACACTGCCCAGAGAGCAAGAAGTTGGGTCTGAGGAGAGGATCACAGGTGAGAAGCACCAAGGAGCTGGCTGTGGTCTCCTTCCTGGCCACCCAGCCTGTGAGGACCAGGTACTGGTTCTTAGATGCTCCTGAGAATCATGTCAGCAATGATGCATAGTCGTGTAAGTGCTTTAAAAACGTAACTGCAGAAGAATAAAAGCAGAATGGAAATGGAGTGTTTGTCTGAGGGGAGATTAAACAGTGCAGCTTATGCTGTAAAATTGGTAATGTTGAAGAAAGTATCAGTTTCACCCTCTGCCTCCAGTGTAACCTGTGTATTAGCACTTGTTTACAGCAGGCGTCTTGCTTTTGTGAATTCTCATGTCAAATAGAAATATGCCCAAGGGTTTAATTTGGTTTCCAGCCCACACTGGGAAAGAATAGGCTGATTGGTTTTCATTCCTTCTAGATATTCTACTAAGCGATCTCTGCAGTGGGTAATTCGAGTTCCTAATGTCTATCATTTATTCATGTTTACCAGGAGGGCACTTTATGAATGAGAGAAAGATTAACTTAATGTGACTGAACTAATGAATTATACTGTATTTACTGTCAATGGATGAACAAGAAAGATAGCAAATATGATTTAAACAATGATGCTTTATGAAGTCATTAAACAGTGAAATCATTAAAGTTTTAACCTTCCTAAGGCACTTCATTTTAAATGCAGTTAGAATTGCTAAAATTAATACAATTTCTGGGTTGTTTATTTGGGAAATGTGCATACAGCTCTTCTTGGGTAGGCTTTGTCAAAGTGCATTTCTTGAGGCCCTACTCTACCAACTCATGGCTTATGGAGAGCACCTGATTTCTTAATATACTTTGGAAAGGGTGAGTTTGTGGTATGGCACATGAAGTGCGTGGAAAGGTATGTATTTGTCACATGTCAATTTAGGCTGATTTTAGGTGCCTAGCAACATGATATTTAGGCAGCAAAGTTGCTGGACCAGTGCAGCTAAGTGGATTTATTCCAGCTGAGGATCTGGCTTGTTAAATCAATTTGTCCTTTTTTCATGCAAGATCAATGACTGGTTCACCCCTTAGTTAAATATGAAGGTGGCACATGCTATTTTTATATGGATTTTTTTTTTAATGTTCTCCAATTTGCTTTTCAGCACTGTGGTAGCCAAGTCAGCACTCTTGATTTACAACCCTTCCAGATACTTGCAAAAGATGCTGGAGAAAAGATTGCTGCAGAGCCCCAGGGGCCTGAAGGCTGATTGCCTGCTGCTCTGTCAGTGATTTACAACCAAATGCCAGCCCATTCCTGTCTCTGTGCTTATGGAGGCAGATGCTAGTTTGACACACAAAGCGTGAACAAAACAAATCCATGTGTGAGATATTACAGTAGCTACCAATAGGGTCGGAAGGGCCTTGGAGGGCTGAAACATCTGCAGTACATAAAAGTGGTTTGTGATTTCCTCCCCCCCATCCTCTCCCCCAATAACTTAATTTCATTTTATGTTTGGGTTGCAGTGCAATGGTGTTACATCAGAACTTAGCTTGTTTGAAAAAGAAGAAAAAAAAATACTAATGTGTGGAAGTTTAATTATGTTTTACCTGTAATCTTCCTAGTTGTGGAAGTGCTTGAAGCCTGATTCACCACTGAAAGCTCGGATTTCAAAGCAGTGGTGTGAAATTGGTTTCCAAGGTGATGATCCTAAAACAGACTTTAGAGGGATGGGTCTCCTGGGTTTATATAACTTGACGTAAGTATGTTCCTCTGTAGATGGATTTATGTGTGTCTGAAGTCATGAAAAGCAGCATTGCTTGCAGATTTTTAGCAAGTCTGTGGGAATAACTTATAAAAGTGATAGGGACCCCATACAAAACACCACAGGAATGTATTTGCTAGCCCGATTTTTGGAGGTTTTATTTTCTTAAACGGTTCTCCTTTCTTTCAGTATTCTTAATGCAACTCAGCAATACTGCTTACTAAGCCTTTTTTAGCTTCTGTGTGACACAGTAAGCTAGCACTCTCTTTCCACAAGAATAAACTGTAAAGTATATTTCACCAATCTCCTTAAACAAAATGCCCTGGAAGTGGGTAGGTGGGAGGGTTATCTTACTGCTCAGCTTTCTTGTTTGGGAATTTCATGCTGAGTTCTTAGGCAAAACATTTGAAATGCAGCCACTGATGGCAGACTTCTGTAGTTGGACTATTTCTTCAATTTCTGTTGATACTCAAAATTAAGCAGTGAGTTTTCATCGCTTTTTCTTTCTGCCTTATGCGCACCAGATGTTGGTACTAGATCTGCAGTTGGTAATTTGGGAATCAATTAATGCCTGTTATTTCTTCCAGCCCTTGTATCTACTTCAGGTAGTTACATAACTTAGAAACGTTTAGTAAAATAACCTTTCCCTATGAGGGGAAAAAGAAGTAATTTCTGCTTTTACAGATGGAAGGACACTGTCTGTATGTCGTTCTGTAGCAGAACTCAGTTGAGGATCTGGACTAGACTCTGGCTTTGAACTTCAATTGGAGATGAGTCCATACCATGTATTTCATTTCTTAGTCTCCTGTGATGACTCTTATCTTGCTTAATGAAGCTGACAGATCAAGAAGCCTGAACTGCTTTCTTTTGAGCTCAGCAGCAAATGTGCTCTAATAATAAACAACTGATTTTCTGTAGGGCAGGTAGAAAGGAAACTCCAGTAATGCATGTTCACTAAACACTTACAGGATTGAACTTGTAATTTGAGGCTGCTTTAGTCTTTCATTTTGGGGGTCTGAGTGGTAGCTTGATGAATTTAACCCACTAAATGCTACTCATACTGCATAACACATAGTGACCTTTAAAAGAGTGTGTGTGGACAGCTTCGTATGACTTAAGATGCTTTTTTTTGTTGTTGTGTTTCATTAAGAATTCACCCTAAACATATGTATCTGCAGGTATTTTGCTGAATGGGACACTGAGATAGCTCAGCAAGTTCTCTCTGATTCTCTTCAGCCTAAATACAGGTAATGCTTGAGACCAGAAAAAAAATACCTTTAGAGAGCACTGTGCTGGCTGGTGTTTGGGGGAGGGGAGAGTTTTGATGTTATTGTTGTTGATCATGGGCATATGCTTGGGTATTGCCACATGCTGTCTGTTTTCAAGTACTGATCCTGAAAACTGATCAAGTCCAAGAGGCAAACTTGTATATTGAATCAGAAATAGTAAAACTTAGTGTTAAATGTTTTCACTTATACTTCTAATTTTGAGTGATTTTGTATTTTTATTTACCTTTCTTTTAATTCTTTTGTCTTTTCATAATGAAGGGAAGTCACTAAGAAGGAGCTAAGGTATTTTTTTAATTTTCTCTTAGTTTTTTGAGTCCCTACATGTAAATAAAGATCAAACCATACTGCAATCTGTCGTGTTAGAAATGGAAGGTCTTTGTTGCAGCACCAAGAGATCCATATTCCTTTCTCTAAAGTTAACTCAAACATAGCTGATGGTGCGACACTGGGAACATCTGATTGTGCTTATATATAAGAATGAAATCAACCTTGCTTGATGTAGCTAAAGCACTGTATTTTAGACCTATTTAGTATCAGGGTTAATGAACAAATTTTGGGTGTCTTTTACCTGTAGGAAAAAAAGTCTAAGCAGTGCCACTATGGTCACAACAGCTGTGACTGACTTGATAATCAAAAGTAGTCTAGGCCAAGGACTTGTTAGCACAGCTAAGAGCCCCTTTATTTATAGTCATATACTCTGTCTGCTTTGATTAATGATGGGTCTAATCTGGCTAGTCCATTGTCCTGACTGTTGAGAGATCAGGTATCTTCAAGTGACAAAAGTTTTGTGTTATGAATTGTTTGTTAATAGGAGATTTATTTTATAATTATTGGGGGAGGGGGAGATGCCTCTTAGCCAGGTACAGAGGAATCAGTTGCCTTAAAAGACGTTTTTCTTCTACCAGTAATGCTAGATATCCATATAGTAGGTCTACTTCTGAATCCTGTGAAGCTTTTGATCTCCTCAGTATTCTGTGGTTGAGTTCCCAATAGTAATTGGGAACACATTAGTGTTCTTCACTTACATGCTTGATTACCAAGGACCATTTTGGAGTGCTGTGTGAGCATGTGCAATTTCTATCTCTTGAAAGAGCATTCAGTAGAAGATAGATGCTGCTGGTGCCTGTGGTGTTTTTCCTGGTGTGGTTGCTTAGCAGCCATTCTGGTTTCTGATATGATCATGATCAATGTAATTTCTATTTCTGTTGAACTTTATTGCTTGTCCACATCCTACATGTGCCACCCTTTTTATCCAGTGTTTGATTGGGGTTTTTTAATTGATGGTATAGCACAGCCGACAAAGATGGTTAACATTTTGGACAATGAGTGAAGACTGATGTATTCCTGTATGCTAAGCCATTTAGGAGGTGAAGTTTTGTCCTTATGCATGCCATCTGATAACACACAGGTCAGGATGGGTATGAAACTATTGTCATCTTTAATAGCTAATGGCAACAATTTTTAAATACTGTATTTACATGAAGCCCAGGGGAGAAGAGTTTTAAGTGTAATATATACTTATCGTAGTTCAAGTATAGTCCAAGAACAATGCTTTTATATATAGCTGTCCATAATTTGGGATCTAAAGTTTGCAAACTCTGATCTGCCTTACCAAGGCAAAACTCCCACAGGCATATTTAAGTTGTAGCCCGCTGGTTAGGGTCAGTTCTGTGCCTGCTTTTAGCTGGTGATAAATGCAGGCAATGACTTCTGCTAAACTTGCTCCATTTGAGTAGATTAAAACTCAGTTACTGCGATGTCAGCTGACTGGTTGCATCACACAGTTCTTTTAAATGAAAATAGTGTTGAACAGCAGAAATTTAATCTAAACTCAAGCTGCTCCCTAACTAATTTTTTTTTAAGGGAGGGACCTTCTGTGTCCTTGAAAAGCTCTGCGTTATTGTGACAAATAATAGGAAATAGTGCTCCTTATTTTTCGCTGTTGAGTGGTTTTTAATTTGGCTGGACATAAAAACTTTCTATCAGAGGAGTATTTTTCATGTTTACTGCCTCAGGTAAATCATGCCTCTAGTGATGAGTGTCATGTTTATCTTTGAAAACACAAAAGGCTAAAACCATCTTTGATTCGTTAAAAGAAATGTAGTATTTTCAAGTTTTTGTATAGCTCAGACTTAATTGAAGTGGATTATCTTTGGTCAATATAGAAAATAACTGGCTTTTCCTGAGAGCATTGATGTAGGCGCATACTTTGTAATGATGAGACAAGTTTATCAGCAGTGCTATAAAGCCAGTTACCCATTTCAAGTCTTTTTATACCAATCCATTCAGTCAGAAGCAGAGTTAGATGTGATTAGCCATATCAATGGAGGTAAAATAACCGTGTTCAGTCAACATTATAGTATCAAATAAATGAAAATAAAATATTTGTCAGTTAGTAATGCATGGCAATCTCTGGATTTTAATTATTTTTTTCCTTTTAGCCAGCTCAGCAAAGCTGAATGGGAGAAGAAAAAGTTTGATAAGGCAATTGGGTAAGTTTAAAAATCTTTTTAAAGTTGCCATAAACACAACGGTTAACAATGATGCTGTGTATTTGAGGGGAAAAAGATGTTTCCTGGTTACTTTTTAAAGGAAATTTCAGTGTACATACTAATGTGTGTTGTCTTAACCACACCTTGATTTTGATCAAAGATTACAGGAAAAACAGTTTGAAGAAAGAATTACTAAAAATAACTCCAAAATGTAGTAGCAAGGAGAAGCTTTCTCTGTATGCTAAGAATAGTGCAGTGATTAATATCTGTTTAATTCTTCTTAACACATAATATGATCAAGTCTCACTACTTACTGTCAGAGACAGGTTCTGATCTGCTTTCAGGAAAGTATAATAGGGAAGAAATAGCAGTGAGGTTTTTTCTTAGGCGGTGGGTTTGGTATAGCTGCATTATTCATGAGTATGGAACTGGATGTTCCTTCTGAGTGTATCTGAAAATCTGTAATACAACACTTTAATGTCCATATTTAATTTTTCTGTGAAAATTGCCCTTGGGCCTCACATTGCAGTTAACTTCTGGACTTTTATTCTTTTTTTTTTCCTCCTGAAATATAACAAAAGTTAAAGAAAAGGAAGATATTTTGGTTTGCTTGATAGAGATAACTGAAAACATACCTAGGAAAGCCTACAGAAGACAGCTGTGTTTAGAGAAGGGAAAAAAAAATCAGTCACTGAATAACTAAACAAGCTTGCTTTTATCACTAAATGTCAGCGTGGGACATTATATGTTTTCCTGGGAAATAGTCAATGCCACAAATGTCAAGTTCTTTATGCAGCAGGCTCACAAATCAAAAAATAACTTCCAATTTCTGAGTTCTGTTGTGCCTAAATATACTTTCTTTGTTGATAACTTTTAGCAGGATGGGGGTTTGCTTCATGGGTCTGATTTTCTTATTTCTGTTTCCAGCATGCTCTGATTTAGGTTTTTCCCTGTTATATGCCCTGTGTATCTAGTTCTCTGATAGCAAGAAATTGGAATGACTCAGCTGGATGTTTTTCACAAGCTTTTTAGCCATATGAATGTCTTTATGGGACTGATTGTTGAAACATGATGTTCCTAACTGTGGGTAATGAGTTCCAGTGGGGCAGATGGGTTAAAATAGCAAATGATGGGTCACCCTGTGGACACAGCCACAGTGTGGAGTGCTCGCCCCAAGTCAGAGGCGAGCACAGGGACTCCCGTGCTTGTTCTTATTCCATAGGAATGAATCTGTGCTGTTCCACTGACAGTGCTGGCACAGTGATGAAAAGCCTGCTTTCACTGTGGCCGTATGTTTCACAAAGGAAACACCGCCATTAGAGTGTACAAAGCAGGGAGGATAAGTGTTTTTCTTGTTTTCCAATTCCCCACCTTGGAAGCTCACAAAGGAGAGAATTAGTACACCTCGATAGCACACAAAATCTGCAGTGTCAGTGTCATCAGTGTTTCTTATAGCATGCTGAAAGAAGACAAACTCTCCACAAATGTTGCTGCTGCTTTTTCTTACAGCTATTCTTTTGCTATCGTGGGCATTAACATAACAGACCTCGCATACAACCTGCTTGTGAGTGGAGCTCTGAAGACCCATTTCTACAACGTTGCTCCAGAAGCACCAACGCTAACTCATTTTCAGCAGACATTCTGTAAGTGGCCAGGGGGGTGGCAAATGTATAATTTGTACTCCTGCTAACACTTTTGTACTATCCATACCTAAAAAAAAAAAAATATCTGCTGACACAACATAGAGACTATCATGCTAGTCTTGCTCTCCTGTCTTTAGGATGCTTGGATTCAGTTCTCAGTTGTCATGGACGCCACTACAAAACCAAGGAGTAAAATGGACAAAACAAAACAAAAAAAAGCCCCCAAAACCCAAACAAAAAAACCCCACCAAATGCCTGAACAAGTGACCTTGCCATCTTCTTAGACTGATTTTAAATAATAAGAAGAAGTAAAGGTACTTTAAAGAGTTTCTGAAGGTTACTTCCTCATAAATCCAACAGTCTTAAGATATTTGCATCTGCATTGTTACCCTTCACTCTTCAGTAGAGTTGTCTCCCCCTCACAATAATGCTTTCCTAGACATTTCCCCTGTATTTGAGTGTCTTTTCTACAGCATAGACCTGCTGTGCAATAAACTGACAACAAGGAGTCAAGATGCGCTGTTTTCCCCATTTATGACAATTGCACAGGTTTTATGTTTTGTTTTGTTTTTTAAGTTTGGCTGTTTAGCTAACAGATTTTTTTTGCTTTGCAGCTATGATATATGCTTATTTCTTAACTGGATAAATGGCAAATATTAGTGTCCTGTGCATCTCTTTCATTAAATAGTGTAGGCTTTTTGGAACAAAGACACTATTTAATGAGACTCATTCACCAAAAATCTTATGTGGGCAGATATCATACTGAAGCAGGGCTCTCCCTTTTGCAGTGGTTTCTGGGTCGCTGCCCTAGATAGGCTGGCTGGTAGGAACTCTGGGCAGTTTAGCTGCTAGGCTTTTGTCTTTGTTGGTGGCTGGCTTGATAAATAAAAAAAAGACAGATAAGTATCTCCCTAGATATCCACTTATACATCTTCAGGTCATCTTTTCATTGGAAGGGCTATTCTGTCTTTTTGCCACATTCCTGATGTGCCCATGGCCTTGTGAACAGATGTGTCTAGTATGGTTTCTTTGGCTCCCATATCTCATGATTGCTAGCCCTTGTTCTTCTCATGGGGGACTTCAGCTTACTGGATGTCCGCTGGAAATACAATACAGCAGAAAGAGAATAGTCTAGGAAGTTCCTGGAGTATGTGGAAGACAACTTCCTGACAGAGCTGATGAGTGAGCCAACTAGGAAGGGCACCTTGCTGAACCTGTTGTTTGCAAACAGAGAAGGACTTGTGGGTCATGTGGTGGTTGGAGGCAGTCTTGGGCACAGCAATCACAAAATGAGAGTTTTCAGTTCTCAGAGAAGTAAGGTGGGGGGTTAGCAGAACTGCTGTCTTGGACTTCCAGAGGGCAGACTTTAGCCTGTTGAGGAGACAAAAGGCTGGTGGAGTAATGTCAGCAGCATCTTTGCCTGCTTTTGTACTAATTAGTTTAATGTTTTAGTTCATGCATCCATATGTCAAGACAACTAGTGACTTGTATTTGTTGTGAGAAGTTCTGCCAATGTATAATGTTAATCAAATTTTGGATTTGTCCAAAATGGATTTAGTCTTGTCCCTGCATAGTGTTGTGAGGTGTCAGACCTCAGTGACCGGGATGCACTGTGTAAATCATAATTGTTAATTGCAGGTTTCTTTCTAATTTTGTATGTGATCTTTACGTCCTGTATTCAGCTCTTCTTCTTCTCCTTTTTTATTATTTTGTAGGCTACTTAATGCATGAATTCCACAAATTCTGGATTGAAGAGGATCCGCTGGACATAATGGAGTTCAATCGTATCAGAGAGAAATTTCACAAGCGAATCTTGAAACAGCTCCAGAACCCAGAGATGGCTCTGTGCCCTCATTTTGCTGCATCAGAAAGTTTAATCAATATGTAGTTACTTGCTCAATTTTATTTGGAAACACTGTCTCACTCTTGTGTTAGATCACTGTTTAGACCATCACTGGCATACTGAATGACCATGGCGATTGTATGCATGCTTTTGGTGCAGTATTCATCTATTTTTGTCACACGTACTAGATCCCCTTGTGCTTCTCTTGGGGATTTCTCATTTTAACTGGGTGCTCATATTGCGGCATTATGCAGTGTTACATTCTGAATTGATGTCCGGGTATCAGAGTTTTTTTCTATTTTTTTAGACTTTCCTCATAATTCAGCATTGACAATTGAATTGTATTTCTCTAGCTGTGTTTTGTATATGTGGAATAAGTAGCTGGATCTTGTACTGTGAAAGCTTTTTAACTTCTTGGTATGTTTTAAGGTAACTACTGGCATTTCAAGCGAAGTATATGTTTGGACCTCGTCTAGAAGAAAATGTGTGTAATTTAACCTGATGCAGGCAAACACATTAAAGTCCAATTTTCTCCATGCAGTCATATATGCTTAATGCAGAATTAATGAGGCTTATGAGGTACAAGTTTCAGTGAGAAGAGTTTATGCAGAATCACAATCAGACTCCACAGCTGCATGAATACCAAATGGTCTGGTGATGCTAGCACATTCACAGTGAACCGCAAACACACAACTACTGGATACTGGCAGGGGCCAAAAATTGTATCATCGGGCTGTTGTCACCAACATCACCATGCTGAAGTATGGTCTAAATTCCTGCACATTCCTTTGAATATACAGGGGTTAGTATTTTGTGTCACATGTTGGAAGGCAACATGATTTGGTCACGTTGTGCTTGGTGAATTCAGGGGAGCAAAAATCTATATATTTTTTTGAACTACTGAAAATGTTGCTTTGGTTGTCAATTCAGTTCCTAAGAACTGGGAGAAGTAATTGATTAGAAGGTTTAGAACAAAACCACTTGAGTTTCCCAGACTACTTATGTAAAAAATTAAAAATGGCAAGCTGCCTTTTTTCTAAAACATCAGTGAGTAAAAGTGTCTGACACTAAGATTGTGTAGTATATTGAACAGCATCTACCATGGCATTTCATACCCATGGTATTTTTTTACCTTCTAAGCAATCAATTTTAGTATTATATGTTTGTGTAAATCACTTGCATATGGAGATTAAATTGAGTAGTGTCCAACTACTTGTGAATTATATGAATAAATTATATGTCATTCTAAACTGAAGCACTGTGGGTTTTATTTTTGAGATATGCAGTAATACAGATGAAAGCTATTTTACTTTAATGGACCAGGTAAAAGGGGATGTAACAGCTTTGTGGTATTTTCCTAGCCTGAATAGTGATCTGAACTTCCTCGGATGAGGTTCTTTATACCATTTCTAGTTACAGCTTGGACCATCATTTTATAAGTAAAAAATAAAGCAATGGGAGTGGTTAAAGTTCTTGGGAGAATCCCAACTTGGATTTAAGCCATCTCATTTCTTTGCTAAAATGTAAAATGGGGATCAAGACTTCTCTGCAGGGCTGGAAACTTGCACTCATTGCGGAGTCAATCAACAAAACTCTATGGGTGTTGCAATAATTAGTTTTCTACAATAAATTTGGAAATATGTAACTGGAGATATTAACTATTGCATATTTTGCATGAAAATACAAGGAATAAAAACTGTGCATGTTTAACTTACTACCATTGATTTTTGGAAAGTGGTTATTTATAAACATTAGATATTGAGGACTTCTTTCTATCACTCTTGAAGCTTCTAAAATAAGTTTCTAGCAACAGTTTCCATTGTTTCAAATCTCAGACTCTTGCTTTCTTTCCTGCTCCGCCCTGACTTAAATAACTTCTTCAATTTGTTAGGCTACGCTGGTTTATTTGTAATACCCTGCACTGAACTTCATGGAGTTGGGAGGGAAAGACGCATGAAGGTCCTTGCTCCCTTCTTAGTGGCATGATCCTCTCAGTTGTTTTGCCTTGTCTCAAGGTGTCAATTTCAAATAAAATCAGATGTCATCTGGCCCTATGTCAGCTGCTTTGGGTGATTGTTTCTCCTGTCTTGCAGGGAGATGGATTTAATGAAGCTAAGTGTGAAATTCCTCCTCCTGTGGAGCCTCTGCATGCTGGTGCCTATGGATCTTATCGTCCTGCCCACTCGTGCTTTAGCTTTGGCCTATGACATCCTTGCTCTCAAAATCCTTGTCAAACCCGGGGCACAGTGTGTCCCTGGTGCCTGCCAAACTGGCTGTGCAATGCTGAGGGCGGGTGTCTGTCTGGAACTGCCTTCCTTCTTCCCCAAGAATGGCCTCTTACCACAATGCAAACCTAAACTTGTCTTTAAGAAATTAGAACCTACACTATCACTGATACATCTCCCAACTGACCTGTGAGGAACTGGATGCTGCTTTCCCTAAAGGGGAGAAAATGAAAGAAACAGCCACCAAAAAAAAAAGTATAAGAAGTTGTTTCAAGAAAGTAGAATCAATATTTATACTTGTGGCAGGGTGCAGATTTTGGTTTAATTAAGAGTAGAGAAGATTTAGGTTGGATCTTTTGAAAAACTCTCCACAGCCTTATGGTTGCTCCACTTCCCCTGCCATGTCCTCTCCTGCAGGCTCCTGTGAAGCCAGCTGGACACCTGTTGCTGGGAAAACATCGTCCCTGGCCCTGCGTGGCATAAGCAGGTCAGATAGCAAAATTCTCAGGTTTGCTGGAACCTTTCTTTTTTAACAGGTTTTTTTCTCAGGCAAATAATTTACATTGGTAGTGCCATGCAGCCCAGGAGCTTTAAAAAGGCACAGCCGTGTTGCATGTCCAAACTGCTAGTTCACTTTATAAAACACAGGATAGCGTACTGATGCTGTACAGAATATGTCTTGCTTTGGGTTTGCAATTGAAAATATAACTGATGAAAACATGATATTGGCAGGTTGTATGTGATTTAAAATGCAGAAATGTTTACCTTGTTTTGCTTTAAGGCAGAAAAAAGGGCCACAAAGTGTTGTGGTTCTTTAATTCTGTATGTGAAATTATACAAGGGTGGCCTGTGTTTCTCTGTGTTACAGATTCAGCCACTTCCCACAGCACAGCACTTCCTTACCCTGACTAATGTGAATACAAATTGTTGCCAGGGCTCCCTCAACAACATAGGTGGGCACTGATTTGTCTTGAGTAACCCTGGTGCTCAGGCAGCACCTGTGGGGCTGGCAGCACGGGCAGGATCTGTGCCTGGGGGTTTGATTCCAGCTGGGAGGAGAGCAAGTGCTGCTCTGCCTTCCCATCACTTTTTCTCTTGTAGCTTTTTTCTTCCTTTGGGAAAGGAAGAATTATTTTTGCTGAGGTTCGTACTGACTCTTTTGGAAGATAGTTTTTCAAGTGCTGGTGGTATTTCTGTGTACTGTTCTTCAGAAGCAAACAAAGTCCATTCTATCCATGCAGTTTATCTTGGAGAGTTGTATCTTCTGGCTGTTTCCTGGAGCAGCACTAAAGCTGGACTGGAAAATTTCCTGTCATGTAGAGGGTAAAGTGGATTAATCCATTGTCCTCGTTAATGGAAGAGCAATCTTTAAAAGCACCTGTTCCCACTGTGTGGTCTGTGCTGTGTGCCCTGTGGGGCACAGCTGGTAGTGACGGCTTAGCAATGCTGGCTGAAGCACTTTGCTGCAAGCGGAGAATTTTCAGCATGTTCCTAGTTGAAATAAGTACTGTTAGGCAGAGCAGAAGGTATGTGAACAGAGTGCCAATGCTCACGCTAATGCACCCAGATCTGCCACTACTGACCCAAAGGATCACTGGTAGCGTTATGCACACATTGGTTTCCTTTATGTGCTTGGTTTCATCATTTCCTTCATAATCCTGCCCTTCATGGGCTATGGTTAGCCTGTAACATTTCATTTGCTGACCTGTCTGTTTTTGTCATAATGTGACCTGAGGTTTTTGACCCTTCCACAGGGGTGACCAGCACTGCAGGGTTGTCCACAAGTGGGATCTTGCAGATGGGAGTCATTCCTGCATGAGGTCTAGAGGAAACCTCAATCTGCAGCTCTGCCACTTGGATGGATCTGACTGAGGTAGGAATCGGTTACAGCCTGAAACAGTACCTGTGTGGAGTTCTACAAATGCTAAATTCATGTGTTTGGCAAGTAGTGTTGGGAAATAGGGGAACTCTGTATGTACTTCCCTCTGCCCCCAGTTGGCTCTTGACAAACTTGGCATTGTCAACATATGACCATTTTGGCATTGTAGGAAGACTCCTCTGTGAATGAGACTCTGATTTTCAGAAAACTGTTCTTTGAATCTTGATAACCACCTTGATTTTCACCTCTCACTTCTCACTGGGAATTTGTTCCAGTGTGAGCTAGAATTTAGCACTAATAAATCCTCCAGGCTACACTGAGAGCAAATCAGTATGGCTCTCCTCTGTACACTTGCGTCTGCAGCATGGTGCATCTAAAAATCACTTGAATTATTAAAATAGATGTTTTGCAGAAAACGATCCTGAAACAGATAAGAAAATGAATTATTCATTGTTTTACTTAGTTTGCAGCAGTGCAGGTTTTCTATAAGACTTGCTAAAGATTAGACAGGAGTCTTCCTACAGGATCATGTAGGAATATAATAGGACTGGCTTTGTGCTTTCCCCTGTGAGCAGCACACATAGAAATCAGGTCATTACTTATTCTAGTAATGAAAACTGTTCTTCTCTATATAGAACTATAATTAGATCCAGAGATTTAGCTCTAAGACCTCCAAGCAAGAACTGGGTACATCAGCTTAGATCAAAATGGACTACAGGGAAGGGCAGAGGTTTGTTGCTTGTGTTGCTGTGTTCTGAGACCTGGGCTCCACTGAAGGACTGCAAAAATGTGTAAGTAAAGGTGGCATATTCCCCAAAGAGCTTACAGCCTGAAACAAGGGAGGTGAGCAAGAGAGGGGAGCATGGGGGAAACACATATCAGCACAGCTGGCAGCTCAGCAAAGCAGAGCAATAAAAGAGGAGGTGGAGAAATGGACCTGAGGAAGCTTGTATGTTTATGGGCAGTTTTTCCCAATTGCAAGGGCAACCAAGGAAGGCACATGGAGATGACTGTGAAAAACCCAACCAAAGGACAACAGGGCATGGCACTGTGACATACTAGAAATGAGGACATATTCCTGGTGGATAAAACATGTCTGAGAAGGTCCTCGAAAGAAAAATGCAGTCTGAAGTGAGAGAATGCGTGCTGAAGTGGGGATTCATAGAGATGCTGGAGTGATAAACATGGGGCTGCTGCAGCTGGCAAAAACAGAGCAGAAAGAGAATGGTGGGAGCAGAGGTCTGAGCAGGCTCCAGCTGACCTGGTGAGTCCTCTCCTCCCATTCCTCCCTGGCCCAGCTTGCAGGGGCCACTGTGACCCCAGGGGTAGGAGGGCTTGGATGTCTCAAGGTTGCTGCCTCCAACTGCTTTGCCCCTTTCACAAGGGCTGTGGGAAAAGTGCATGAGCATGTGGCTGCATGGGGAACACAGAGCTTCTGTAGCTCAGCTGCTAGTTTAGTGCACGGGGCTGTTCTGCTCCTAAAGCACCCTCAAACTCCCACCAGGCTCTCTTCAGGGAGGATCAGCTTCTTCCGTCTCACAGAATAGAATTTATTTTATTTTTTTGTCCATGCCTGAGATAGGCCTCAGTTAGTGTAAGTCATGCCTGTGTGCTGTGAAGCTGTGCAAATTTTCAGCGGCTCCAAATCTGGCCAGAAGAGATGAATCCAACAACAGCAAAGAACAGATGACCCTGAGCCCCAGCAAGGAGTTACAATCCCAGCATGGTGCTCTCCTTTCATTTGATGGAACAAAAAACAAATCCAAGAGAGACATGATCAACTATCTACGCAGTGGGTCAGAAAGGCTTCCCTGATCAGCAGTGTGAGTGCCCCTGTATTAAAGCTAGACTAAGCATTCATACCCTGGTAGACTATTTGAAAAGGCAGTCAGGGACTTTCTTATCACGTAGAAATATCCGTGCTTTTGGAGCACGAATCTAATTTCTAATTCAAATAGAGATTCAAGAGCAACAGAGGGAATGTGCATCAGTTCAAGTAATTTTGGAGCTGTCTGAACTGCAAGTCATAGAGCAAGATGCTGGCACTTCAGTGTTTTATTCTATATTCTTAATCTGTACCTATAAATGCAAATTAAACATCACTGTCTAACAACAGTATCCTTTATGATCCTCTTAGATTTATTATGAATG